TTGGAAATTGGATGAGAACACCGGACTATGGTCTTTTCGACCCGGTAAGCAAACCCCGGGAGCTAGTTCTTCACGAGCTGCTCCTAGTTCTTCTCGTGCTCCTCCTCCTCCTCCTCCTCCATCTCCTGACGCTGATGATGATCCAGAGCTTCAAAGGCTTATGAGAGATATTGACGAGGAAGTACCAGCTCGGCAAGATGATCAAACGCCACCTTATTTCCGATCTTTTCTAGAGTCGTTTGATCTACGTTTTGCCTCCATTGAGTCTACGATTCTGAGTTTCAGAGGGAGATCAGGGCTTTTTGGGATTCTTTTCACTGCATGTAAAATTTAATTCTTAAACACAAACCAGAAAAACCATCTAGTTTAGCAAGATAATTGAGGACTTACAACCACTACCTTTCATAATTAACAGTACTGTCAGATAACATTACTGCAAATGAAATTACAATTTCATAAACCCGGAAACAGATGGCAAGATAATACAATAAAGACAGTCAATCAGGTAAACCATCAAGCCAAAGTCTGAAACAACCAGATCCCGAACAGTAAGCACAGAAACACTAAAAACACAGTTGGTGCCATCACTTAGCAAACAACAAGGAAGAAACAAGACCAAGTACAGGTGTATAAAGATCACTTCAGAGAATAAATCTAGTAATAAAGCTGGGTACTTGCACAAATTCGTAATTCTAAAATTCACATAGGTTATATTTCATGAAATTAACAAATAAATGGAAGAAAAATACACTAATACTCCATCTTTTTATAGCATAGTTATTATTGACAAAAATGCAAGCTTCAATAAATAATCCATGAGGATGCTCTAGGAAACTTTAATTTGAAAAGTACATGGATCAGATCGGGGTATAAAATTCATAGATCAACATAACTTTCTACTTTAGGGGTTACTAAACTTGATTTCTTAAGATCACACCGATTTCTTACAAGATAAACCAAGATGCACCAACCTCACGAAATAAGACAGACAAAAATCCTGATCAATTCTTTTCTCGAGAAAGAAAACGTATAGCTTACCTCCAGAACTTGTTGTCCAACTGTGTGTCCTTCTACTCTAGATCGCCCACCCAAGAATGCAAGATATCTCATGAGCATTTGTGTGGTCTCGGTTTTACCGGCACCACTTTCTCCACTAACCATAATAGAATTATTTTTTCCCTCAATAATCATTGCCCTAATTTTTTATGCAACTGGACATAGTAAGACTTCAAACAAAAATAAAGAAACAAAAGAATGTTTAACAATGCATAAAGACATTGACATCTAATCACCTGTAGGCAGCATCACCAACCACAAAAATATGGGGACTTAGTTCTCCAAAAGTAGCTCATTTATATTGTTCCATCATATGATTGTCATAAACACTTGAGCTTCCAAAAAGACCCCACTTCTTTGGACAAAGTTTAGAAGTTGTATATGAGGGTGGAAAAGTTCATCAGCTCAAGTCAAAATTACTTGACATCAGATAGAACATATTAGACCACCTTAGGAAATTAATATAGATATATACCTTCTAGGCCAGTAGAAGACTTCAACATAGAAGGTGTAACATCCCTAGTCCCCTCCACAACAACATAATGTGGGAAATTATTTATGGACCATCTTAGTTATTTAGAAATATAATTTAAGTTAATAACAAATAAATATGTTGGGGTGGGGAATCTCCTCATGAGAGCATCGCTACTCATAGTCACTCAAGAAAATAGTTGAATAAAATTGCTCCGATATTATCGGTAAGGACATTTCATTAGAGTTATTGCAAAGAATGATGATAATTGGTGTATTTTCCAAAAACTAAAAACTATATGACATTATATGAACACATCAAAATCTCAGACAAAAATACATCATAAGAATACATATTTGATTGTCTATCATGCAAATAAGTACTGACTGGAAAGGCCAACAGACTTGCAGTAAGAAAATAAGATAAGCCATAAAGTTGTAAAATACTAGCGCAACTGATCAGTAGTATCAATTAATGATAGTTATAAAGTATATAAGCATTTAGAATCCAGGTATAAAGCAGGCTCTTTAGAAACAACGAACCAAGCAAATGATTGAAACCAAACCAACAATATAAGATGGTAAAACTTGCTTTTCATTGTTAATAAACATTGCAACCATCTAATTTGTTTAATTTATTGTTCATTCATACACAATGGACCATATATCAATAAGAAAACATGTAACACACAATTATGCATAAAAGAGACAGCAAATTAAAATTATGAAGAGCTCACATAGACATCAAACTATTTAATAAATCATTATCAAGTGAAATTATATACGCTAGTTTACACACTGCATGTAAAGTCAGCTAATGTAATGACCAAACTAATTGCACCACGTTGTGTTTTTTCCAAAAGAAATACATCTTTTGATTTGTTTAAAGAGTAGCAAATTGAGTAATAAGCCTTCTAATTGTTTGCTCTCTTCTTCTTGGCCAAAACTAACATTAAAATCCTCAAAGGTATAAAATCCTTTTCTTTTAATCATATTATCAAATGGATTGAACAAAATTTAGAAATCAAGATATCAATTCGGCTTCCAGAAGTTACTAAAAATCAAACATAATACTAATAATTTAGCATAAATATAGAAAGTAATTTATTTATCGATGCTACTGAATCTTCCAAAATTGGGTAAAAGACCTTTGACCTTAAGGAACTCATAAGCAGTGCCAACAAGTCTCATGTCGTCAGCATTGAGGCACGTGTCCAAGACCTCCCGATCCTTCACCGACCCACTGAGAAAATCCAAATCGCCGCGTCGTGACCGAGTGGATAAGGAGCCATTTTCCTCAACAGGGTTTTCGTTGTTGTCTTTTTCAATGGATATGAGGAACCTTAGAGCAGTAGCTATGTCCTTCTTCTTCCCTTCTTCCTTGTATTCTTTCCATTCCCTCAGAGCTCTTGGTGGGTGGTAATGGATGCTTTTGAGTGGCGGAGGCGGTGTTTGGAGGAAAGAAAGGAAATTGGACTAGGGTGTCCTCAAGTTTCTATCTCTCTTTTTTCCCCTTTTCCATACATGCTAATAACTTCCAAAATAAAATCCCAAATCTTTTCTGGTTATACTTTCTTATCATACACTAAATTATAAACACCTTGCTAAATTTAACAGATAATATTACTTGATAAAGCAAAGAATAATCAGTTTGGGGCATTGATTCTTTAGGAAAAAAAAGAAAAAAAAACAGCGGTAATGGAAATGTAATGAACCACAAGAAGTAGCTAAGACATTAACAGAAAAGAGACTGTAAAGACTTCATACCATATTATCATAACCTTGGATCAATCACGAATAATCAACAACGCCATTTTTCCCCTTATTGGATTTACCCTCTCTCGCCCCATGCCTTTCAGACCTCCATGATTCCTGCGGCGATGAGCAGCACCAGTTTTGCGTGGATGGAAAAGATGAAAAAGGGGAAAGGGATTTGAAAAAATAGATGTAATGGCGAGAAAAAAAAGGCTTTCATAAGTGAAAAAGAAACTATGTTCGGCGGAGATGGGCAAGAGGAAAAGGGGATCGTGGGAACAGATAGAAAAGGGGAAAGGGATTTGAACAATTAAAATTATCAAATATTGCGGCGTTTGTTGACAAAAACGCCATCATTTATCATTTTATAGCGGCGTTTGTGTAAAAACGCCGCTACAGTTCTAATATTTTGCGGCGTTTATTGGGAAAAAAACGCCATTATAGGTGAACCCTATTATGGCATTTTAATAAAAACACAACTATAGATGGACCTATTGCGGCGTTTATATAACAGCACCGCAAAAGTACTACTCTTTTGTGGCGTTTTTCGAAAAAATGCCACAACAGATTTGTACCTATTGCGGCGTTTATATAAAAACGCCGCTAAAGTACTACTCTATTGCGGCGTTTGTTTAAGAAACGCCACTAAAGTATCATTTTGTGGCGTTTGGATTGTAAACGCCGCTATCGATACTTCCCTTACCTTTGGTATTGGTATCATATAAACAATATTGATACTGTTCATGAGGTATTGATATTGTAAGAACAATATCGGTACTTCTTGTACGTGAAAATCATTTTGTGCTCAAATCCGCTTTTAAAGACTTTGAATTATTTTTGAAAACTTTGAATAAATTCAATTCAAGTACAAAAACATTTTTCCTTAAATTGTTATATCAAAATATATTTCAACAAAATTATATCTTTATATTAAACGTCAGTTGCTTCCAGCTCTATCAATGGCGGTTTACTCATAGTAATCACTTCAGTGTATTACTAAGTATTGCTGAAGATGAAGTCGCTAAAAATGGTGCAAGGAAGTTAGGAACGTAATGAAAAACATATTATTCCATTGTTAATTTGTTATACAAACATATCTGTGTGTGTGGCATTCGAATTAACGAAATCGACCCCGCCCAAAAAAAATGAACATACTCGTATCTAACATTTACACTTAAATTTAAGCTTTGGGGAGCTTCAATCTTCATTACAATTTCCTTACTGTTAATAGGACTTTGAAAATTTTCTGTCAATCATAGTAGTGGTATCCCCTTGTTTTGATGTAATCAAGGGGTTAATAAAATATAGATAAGACTGTCAGACATTTTAGCTAAGAAAAGATGCTGCTATTTGGTGAAGGCTGGAACTGACTGATGCAAGCATGATGGAAGAGCATGATTAAATGACTATAATACATGCATCTCAGACACAATTCTTGGTTTAAGTGTGTTGTTGAGTTTAAAAATACTTTTCCTTGTAATTTGTTTTCTCACGTTAAGAAGATTTAGCAGTCAGGATTTGCTGCTCCTTCCAATTAAGTTTTGGAAGAAATGTTTTTCACTGATTCTCATGCTTGTCATTCGTCGTTTGTCTACCTTTGAAGTAATCGTTTCCGACCCTCCAGATACCTGAAAAGCTTAGATAAAAAACAAATTAAACATACTCGTCTATGACAAACATGATACACTGGCTTATCAATATTTTCATTTACTGCTAGTAGAAGTTCTTCTTGCCTAACCTGGATTGTAAAACCTTATCAAGTTTTAGCTACTCGTCAAAAATGAGTTTCAGGGTTGAACTTGAATCACACAAAAAAACGACCCAAACCCTTATTTAGAGATCATTCCATGGTTTTTCCCTTCCATCTTTAGCAGAATACACATTTCCTGCCTCTTTTTCTGAAAGGGTAAGTAAAAAGATGGTTTCTCATCCCCAATGCAGATCCAGTAGCCAATGATTTCCTATTATTTTATTGGTTGCTGCGGCAGATGAAAGGAATCTCTGTGCCATCAATCAACACACAAGAAAAGAAAGAAAATAGGAACAAAATTGAAAAAATCACCAGCCAGACGCCACTCCAAAAAGGATCAAATTTGAGTACGCCTGATTTTGAGATCTGCTTTGTTGAAGATCACAAGGGGAAAACCAAAAAGGAAATCACAGAGGGAAATGCTTAGGAAAAGAAAAGAAGACTTTGCTAGTTTAGGATTCAAAAGAAATCTATTTGTTGATATAGTCTTTTCTTACAACTATAAAACTTGTAGCTCTTCTCATTTTATAATTACTAACGGAACTGAACTAATTAGAAAATGAAGGTAAGCAAGAAAAAAACTCTGAAATTTATCTGTAACTTGATGCAATGGATGTAAAAAATCCATGAGTTCAAGACAAACAAATCCAAGAACCATCTTGCATAAACGAAGTGGAGAAAAGGAAAAGGAATCCCGACTGATCTATATATGATCATCTCCATTCTCCATTGATGTCTTCTTTTTCTTTCTCTCTTTCAAGAATCTCCATGTTTATGCCAGCAAACAAGCATGGCAACACATCGCCTCATAATGTAAAATCTCGCCTTCTGTTCCTTGGCCATGCTACTACATTTATGCGAAATGGGTGTCTTTTGTGAAAAACTTCTTGGTAGTGGACATTTAGACGATGATGATGACGAAGAAGAAGAACATGAGTTCTTCTGTGAGAAACTCCTAAGAAGGGGAGACTTGGAAGAAACACTCTTCGTGGAGAAACTCCTTGGAAGTGAGAACTTTGAAGATCTTGAACAATGGGTGCCTGAAGCTTCCTTCTTTGATAGTTTCCACTTCTCATCCATGTAAAAAGCTTGGAAGCTTCAACACTAGCAATAATGGGATAGACAGTTCCCTCAGAGTTTGATCTCTTTAACATAAACCTGATAACCTCTTTGATTGAGAAGTTGAGAAGGGGATTTGATTGAGAAGGATTCTCAGGGCTGCAGACAGTAGTGGGGCTATATGTTGTTATATATAAAGTAAAGTAGGGCCTCCCTCCTTAGAATTCGAGCTTTGTTAGTTTGATCTGATCAAATTTATTTAGCATTTTAAAAGTGTCAATTCTCAGCTCTCTTTAGGATTTTAGAACTAAGTTTTGAGCGTTACATAATAGATACTGGACCATTGTTGGTGGCCTGGCACTATAAAATTGGTCGGCTGTATGAGGATTTGTGAAGTCCTCATTCTTTGCTCATATATATTTCTCAATCTCCTCACTCTTGGAGGTCCATTTCTTTTTTTTTTCTAGCACTATTGTCGTACGGGGCTCCATAATAATGTCAGTATTTTAAGTTTACATCACAAAATAACACACGCATGAGAGTGAGAGAGAAGAACAAAAGGGGAAGGAGGGGGTGGTGGGGTGGGGTCACATTATTGTTAGATGCTTCTTGTGATAAGGATTGTGTCCCTTTGTTGACAGAGTTTGAGGTTAAATTTTTAAATAATTTTCTCATGCAAGTTGGTGAATGGAACTTACACTTTTTACAGTGCCATTTTGATTCTTGACAGTGTCCCAAAAACTATAAATGTTTGTGGGATGGGAGGGGGGGCTCCTTTAGTCTCCTCTCCGCAGTTTCATGTTGGAGGCTTAAATTTCACGTGTACCTTCCCTACATGTAGTTGCATCACTCCTTTCTATTGGACCCAACTTTCACTTTACCATTTATTTCTTATTCCTAGTCCATAAAAACACTTTGATAGTTCGTTGATTTAAGTCGAACTATCGAAGACCACATTCGAGACATAATTCCAATACCATCTGATACTTCTGTCATTATGGACCATTGGACCTCTTCCAACCACCATATGACAAATTCAGGAGTTTATTCAGTAACTTTCACATTATCATATAGTTTTATCTTGATGACAAATTAACTTTTAGACTCTCAAGACATTGCATAAATTATCCTGTAAGAGACCCCATAGTTGTGAAGGATATCATTTGAATTCTTAGCTTCACAGAGTCAATTGAACTGAAAAACTGTAAGCAGAGCAATTACTGCAGTCATGATTACAAGAGGATATCAATCCATGACCACAATCTTGTGATGAAGAATATACTTCCTCCTACATATTTTCTGCTTCATTTTCTTATATTTAGCACCCCGAACATTTGATTCTTTTGATTGATGCGTGATCGAGAATTCGGTTCTGCGAACCTCTTTATCCAAATTAGAAATATATAAAAACGAGGATGTATGTATATAGAGTCTCGCACTTTTTTCCTTTCCCACCGACCAACACATTAAATCTTAAAATCTTTGGTCCTTTTCAACTTGAAATCTTGGTCAGAAACAATAGTTATTTATAGTTATATTTTAAATGCTAATATATATTAAGGATCATAACAGCTAATATAAAATTATTAAAGTATCTATGGGAATTAGGGATTCACATGCACATGCAACCTTTAGGATCAGCAAACACAAGCTTGAAATTTCAAATACACACACATACACTATATATATATATATATACATCCTCCAATTATAGAATATTTCGCCAATGTGCCCTGCTGAACTTCACCATGTGATGAAATTGATTTCTGCAATAATGTTTCTTCTGGTATGGGGACAACCTGCAATGATTTTCCAACTTAAGGAGATTTCTAATCTTGATAACTTTCTATCACAAACTTCGTTCACTTTGCTAAACATATATAGTAATCTTCAAAGTGTTGTTCTTGTACTCCTTAAAGAAATCCTTATATAGTTTGAGATAGAGAGGATTCAATGTTTGCTTTTTGAGGTTTAAGTTTTGGGTTTTGTTTCATTGTTTTTGGTCTAATTAGAGATTATCAATGTTTGCAAATTGCATTAAACTCTGTTTAATGTTCCTTAAAACGTGGTGTTGACTGTCCACAAGACTATATAAAAAATAATAAAAAACAAAAAGGTGGTGGAATCCGAAGAAAGTAGAGAAACAACATATTTTGTTAATGAGACAATTTGACTGCTCAATGTTTTTTTATAATGCAAGTTTAGGTCTTTGCTTTCATATTGTTTTCAAACCAATGTTGGCTTTTAATTGTTGTCCAAATTGCTATTAGAAAACTAAAAGGACATTACAGTGAAAATAAGATATTTTGTGCTAATCGTATTAATTCTATTTATTTGTTCTCTCTAGATGACCCGGATTCGAACAAATGCATCTGTTGTGTATGTGTGTTATTAATAGGCTAAGAAAAAATTATAAATAGATATTACCTTCTAATCATCATATATTATTAATATATATATATATATATATAACATATTCTTTTATATGATATAAAAAAATACTGATCTAATTTCCTTTCTCTTTACTTTACCTTTACTTCTTTTGAATTATATATATTAGATTATTAGATTTGATTGGTCAAACATACTGTGAGGATGGGTCAATATCAAATCACATGGTGTGTTGTGGATACAATACAATGCATCTTTTTAAACTTGTTTTTGTTAGGGTTTAGTGAAAATATTTTTAGTTTTTGCTAAATGATCATGTGGGCTTGAGAATATCGGCATTTGGAGTCCCACATGAAGACATGTGAGCTGCATGAGAATGGCAGAAGAAAGCCTGTTAAATACCCTTCAATTTTTTTTATTTCTATTTAAAATAAAACATTATGGAGCCCCTTTCTGTATCACAAATGCATTAAAAGAAGAAAAAAAAACAGGTCAAAAAAGTCATAAATTATGTCTCAAAGCCTCCATTAATATAAAATTATAAAATCTTGAGTCAAAAAGACTTGCACATTTTCACATTGTTTGTTCACTGTCTATTTTCATTGCCAGTGTTTTGAAAATCGGATCGAACCGATCGGTTTAATCGGGAATCGTTGTCTAGTCCGGTTCAATCAGGAATCGTTGTCTAGTCCGGTTCAATCTAGACCGGTTGAACGTTACTAGTGAACCGGCCGGAACCGTTGAACCGTTCAAACCGGACCGGCTGAAAACCGGAAAAAACCGGAAAAAACAACCAATTTTGTTGTTTTTTTTATAAAAAAAATTAAACCAAACGACGTCGTTTGTTAAATGAGCCAAGTCGAACTCGAGTATTGCTAAGCTCGACTCGAACTTGAAAAATTTAAAAGTAAGCTCAACTCGACTCAAACTCACGAGCTAAAAATTATCAAATTTAACTCGAACTCGAAATATAATATTCAAACTTGAACTCGAAAATTGAACTCGAAAAAGCTTGAACTCAAAAAAAATTAGAAGCTCGATTGAAGCCTAAAATTCGAGCTTGATTGAATTGAAATAATCGTTCACCTCCATGATTTTGAATGCCAAATTATCTCTATTATTTATAGAAATTAATTGGTTGATCTTCTATGTTTCTTAGCCATGTGAGATTATTTTAAAAAAAAAATTAAACCAAACAATATCATTTTGTTATGATTTTTTAGCCCCAAATTTATTTTTTAATTATAGTTATATAATTATATTTATTATTTAATATTTTTTACCTTAAATATTATGTTGTAGTTAATTTGAATTATTTTGTTTCACTTGATTTTATGGTTTTTAACTTATATATGTTATGACTTGCTTTGAATATGAATTGTGATATAAAAAATTATTTTTTATTAAATATTTTTGGTATTTTTATTTAATTTTTTAAATAATTATGACGTCGTCCGGTTCTTCCGACCGATCGAACCGGTTCGACCGGTTAAACCATTGAACCGATAGTATGACCGGTTCGTTAACCGATCCGGTTCTGAAAACCATGTTCATTACCAAAGATTATTGGAACACCCATCATCTTTCTGACGTTCAGATTTTGCCCAATGTTTTCTTTTTAAATAAATTACAAGGAAATCCAGGTCTGAGAAATAGTTTTTATTTTATTTTTAAAAAATTGTTCGAAGTTACAAAAGTTTGATGACATAAATTATAAAGTGTGACATGTTTAACAGCCCTAGGAGTCCATAAATAATTGCTTGCTGGAGTTTAGGTCCACAATGATTCTAAAGTACACTAATGGCTTTGGGCCCATTTTTATTTTCTTTTTTAAAAATCAATAAATAAAAGAAATCACGGATATTAACATATAAATTTACCTTTTATTTCGAATTGTAATTTTTTAAAACAATGAAAATTACAACTCAAGTATTTTTTGTTTTTCATTTTTAAATTCAAAATGAATTAAGTTGCTTTATCTTCTTTATTGCTATAATGAAATAACCATTGTTTGGGGAAGTCAAAGGATTGCAATAGGATTACATTAGTTTTCTGTGATGCAATAAGAAATCCGCGTGCTTGTACTTTGGAACTAATAGCCATGGTTTTAATTCAATCATAGATAAAAATCACGTTATCCAAATTTAAGAATGATAAATATAAATATATATTCGATTTCATATATATATATATATATATATATATATATATATGTATAAAAGACTGTATTTTATATTTATATTCAAATATATACTCCACGGGATCTTTGATAACATGCTGAGAACGTCCTTACATTTGCCACAAGCTAAAAAATAAGTAGGAAATGTGAAACTTCTATCAGGTCAGTGTAATTCTATTTTCAAACAAATGCTGAAATCTCATTTCAAGTTGTTGCCATTGAATGAACTCCAAGGATAGCATGCATGCCGAAGTTCACAAATGTATAAGCATTTAGATATATGCATGTTTATTTGTATACATGCATATACACGGCATGCATGCATGTCACGATATACTTGTCTGGTACGAGGATTGGGGTTCATTTATAAACTGACCGAGTATTTCTGTTACTTTGATCACATCTTTAATCTATTTTAAGATTTCTTTATGATAATTAAACTTGACATCCCTAACGTCCTTAAATTATTGTCCGCATAACTTGGGTCAATGGGAAATAGACGTAGTGCATCATGTGATATATATGCATATACACAGCATGCATGCCATGATATACCTGTCTA